TCGACATTTGTTAGCTTCTCTCACCCTTTCGTTAAGTGTTTAACAATTTATCGGTAATATTTATTAACAATAAAAATTTATAATAATCACATAACATAAATAAATAAATAAATATCATTATACACAAGGGTAGAGAATTCAAATTACAGACCTTAATTAAGATGAGAATGCCCTTTGTAATGGTATAAGTGGTGACTAAGAAGGAGGACTTCTCAAATATCATTACCTCTGAACTTACTATCAATGGAAAAATCTAATCTTGATGACTGGGACAACCGGACAAGACTATTGTGAATATTATCACATGAATGTCAATCAATGGTCACAGTCCACAGACAATTTGCAAAACAAGACAAATATTTACAGAGAACATTGGGCGGTTCCCATTGTGAATTTAGCTTCTTACCTCTTAATTAAAGAAAGTTAAATTAATTTAATTGATAATCAGACTTAAAATATTAAAATATATGAAGCAGATCTAACTTAGAAAAATGCAGCTTAAAGAGTTTATAAAATTCACTTGAGATCAATTGGACTCAGCGTTGCCAATAAGAAGTGCAATACATTCCCCTTAATAGGTGTCTCTCTCTTTGTTTTCTGTTTTTGTTTTTGTTTTTTATTTTTATTTTTGTTTTTGTTTTTTTTTATGCAAATGAAAACATCATTAAATAGAATTAAGTTTTATAAAATAAAGATCGAATATATGGTACAAGCATTTTCTGATCATAAGAATAACAAAAAAAAAAAAAACAGAAATAGGAACAGAATCAAAATAAATAAAAATAGTTTAAGTACCATTTTGGTCCCTCAACTTTACACTTTGGTACCAAAATTGTCCCTCACCTTAAAAAAATACCAAAATTATCCTTAAACTTTCATTTTTGTACCAAATGGTCCTTCCGTCAGTTAAATGGACAGGTGGCAGTTAATTCGCCAGCAAATCAATTCTTTTGTTTTTAACTAATGACATGGAAAAAAAAAAAAAACATAGTTGGCCATTCTTTTTTATGTGTTGGCATTTTTATATAATTTAAAAATAATGACATTTTTTTTTCCATCCACGTCAGAAAAAAA